CTCTTGTCGTGGCCGTAGCCCTTGCATGTCTCACATCGCACGGGCTTGCTCTCGGGGCAGTTGGCCACCTGGTGGCCCTTCTTGCCGCACCGGAAACTGCGACCGCGCACGCTATCCGCATCGTCGTCGCCGCCTCCGCCGCCGCCCCCGGCCTTCGCGCCACCCCCTCTCCCCTTCTGGTTGCCGCCGCCGCCGCCACCGCCGCCGCCACCCTTGCGGCGGCCGCCGTTGCCGCGGGCCGGCGCTCCTCCCCCACCGCTACCGTCGCTCGCGAGGAGAGCATGGTCCGCCCTACGCTGGCCCCTCGAGGCCTTCCCCCCGTCCGGGAGGCTCACGTGCACCGTGCTCACGATTCTGACGATCTCGGCCCTGTCCAGCGCGGTTGCTGTCTCCAACAGGAACTTCGCTTGTTGGTACTCGGGTGGGAGGGAACCAACGAAGTGGGCGAGTACAAAGGGTGCGTCAGCGATGAGCCCTTTTTGGCGTAGGCGTGAGTACAGCAGCTCGAGCGAGTACAGGTGCTCGATGGGGTTTTTGGTGCTGTGTGTGGGGATCGTGGAGTTGAACATTTGCTTCATGAGGGCTTGTTTCGAGCCCTGCGATTCCGGATCCTAGATTTTGTCGAGTTCCGCGAGGATCTCTTTTGCGGTCTCGCATTTGTTCCGATCGCCTTGTCGGCTTCTCTGAGGATGGCAGTGGTCTCAAAATGGAACGCTTGGAGACCCCTCTGGACCTCGTCGCTGGTGTATTGGAGCCGGTACAACTCCGAGCTTGGCATTTGGGTTGCCGACAGGTGCATGTCTCTCGTTGTTGCCGTTCAATTGGCCGTCCAGTCCTATGGTCTTGGCCGCTTGGATAAGCGATTTTCTCCACGAGTCACACCCATGGCCGCGACTCTCCCCTTCGAGACGCGGGGCATTGACTATTGCTCTCTTCATGTGACTACTTCTGTAGCCGTCGAGGAATTCTCCATTTCCTCGAATCACGGGTATCTCACCTGGGGGGTTTAACCCCCTCGCTTCCCCTCCGGCTGGTCCAACAGGGTTCGCTCCCGATCTGCTGGTCCATCCGCCTTCAGCAGCTGCCGTGCTCCTTGCCCACTATTTCTTGCTTGCTGGTGGAGAAATCCCCCGCCACCGCCGAGCGGCAGCGTTGGCTCGTGGCTTGCGGGGGCAGCAACCCAGCCGCCCCTACTGGCTGCATCCGCCACGACGCTGCCAGGCTCCTTCTTCACCGACTCCTCCACCAGGGCCGCCAATTGTGGAATCTTCAGTTGCAAACTTGCAAGCTTCGCATCGCGGCCCTCCTGCACCGGCGGGCGGATCTGTCCTCCGCTCGCAGCAGTGCGCTCTTCGTCTCCAGCAGTGCTCATCCCAATGTGGCTTCCCTCGAGGGGCAAAAACAACTGCTCTAGAGTGTTTCGCGGCCTACGCCACTTCTTATCGGGTGAGACTGTTTGGTGATGTATTAACTTCACGAGAGGTCGACGACCGTCCTTCACACGGACGAAAGCGGCAGTGCTCAAAGAGCGGCTCCCACAGCAAGGAGGGGCCACGTGAATCATCGCGGTGCCCCCTACCAAACGGCAATCTTACCAGTCTACGTGACCCCAAATTATCCAGCACATGTATCCAACACCAATGTTCGCAGACCCACGGACATTAGGTGTCCATGTCCATTTCTGGTTGTATTGGGTATCCATGTACAGTGGTGATTCCACATCTGCAAACCAACTTAAGCTGGCATAGCACGCCGGTATACTTATATTGGAGACTGACTTGTACGAGTCGCCATTGGCCTTCATTGCGGCATGGGTCGGCGGTAACACAGACCTCTCTGCAATAAATACTGCGACATGAATTGAACGCGAGAACAGTCTAATAGCAGCTTCTGCCTCACACCAATCATTTCCGCGTACATTCGGCGCCGCGCGACTCGCAGTGTTGAAGCCGAGACAGCTGAAGCGGGGTCTGTTAGCCGAAGGTCTTTGGACCACATGGTCCCCTTCTACGTGGTGGAGCATTCCCTACGATCCTGCCTCTGCGTCCACTGCTACAGGGCCAAACTCATCACGGTTGCCCCGTGCCAACTGTGGTCAACCCTATCACAGAATGTGGCGTCCTGCAGCAGCGGAGGTGGCGGTGATGCTGTAGCTCGTAGACTTTGTAGTCCACCACAGAGGTTACACTGCTGTCACCGCTCTATCACAGAGGTTGGTCTACACTGCTGTGAGATCGGTAGGCCCGAGCGAGCTCTGGAAAGAGAAATGTAGATAGATTCTCTTATCAGCTGACTCCCTGGTCAGGCTTTGATGGGTGCTAGATGAGAGTGAGCACAAGGGGCGATGGCGCGCTTGTGTCTCATCTCAACAACAAAACAAAAACAAGAAACAAGCAGCAAAAACACAGCAGGTTCCGAGGGTCTCCGGAGTAATGGCCCGAGTACCGGAATTTCGGGGTTCGGAACAATAAAACAACTACAGTCTCGCCTGCCAAATTATCTCCGCTACAACTCTGTGCTCATGTTCTCTGCTGAGTACCATCTCTTCTTTCTGTATTATGTCTACGGAAGGCTAGTTGCCGCAGTCGCACCTATGGTAAACTGTGCCTGACTACGTTGTAACAGTTTTCCTCGACACGACCCCTCGATTAGGCAAGTAGCCGATGTTCCAAACAACCTTCACTTCGCTGCCATTCTTGCGACCCCTCGATTCCCAATCCATATCAAAGAATATCGACCTCCACATGACTGAATCCATCCTGTGAGCAATACACGCGTCCAAAACATTCAACCATACTATGCGATCTTGTGCTTAATATCTTCTAGCACTTGTAGTCCTTGATGAGTTGCATGATGGTGGCGAATCGCTGCTTCGGGAGATGTTTCGTCGCGATGTCCGCCAACATCGTGGCACTAGGTTGGTGGTGAAGAGTGATCCGGTGCCCCTTCGTGAGTTCCCGGAGGAAGAAGAACCGGAGCGCGATGTGCTTGGTTCTAGAGCTGAACATCGCGTTGCTGGCCACAGTCAATGCTCCGGTGCTGTCGCTGTTGATGGGTACCGATCGAAAGGTCTTGAATCCGATTTCCGTCATGAAGTTGGAGATGTAGACTGCCTCGCGAGCACTGAAGCTCAGCGCTTGAAGTTTGGCCTCCACGGTGTTCTGTGCTGCGAGAGTCTGTGCCTTGGCTCCGTAGCTGATCAGTCCCCCTCCTAGGAAGAACAGGTATCCGGTGGTAGACCTGCCGTTGTCTGGGTTGGCTCCAAATGACGAGTCAGTGAAGCACGAGAGTCTGAACTGCCCCTTCTTGTACACGATCGGCAGGTCCGGCGTTCCGCGTAGGTACCGTAGTAGGTGCTTGGCCGCAGCCATGTGGACCTGTGCTGGGTTTGCGCATGCCCGTGTCAGTTGGTGCACTGCGTATGACAGATCGTAGCGGGTGCATTGGGCAAGGTACAGGAGACTCCCGGTGATGGCCTGGAATCTCTGCTTGTCCTCGGGTCCGAGTAGTTGGTCTTGTGGCTGCTCGGTTGATAGTTCTGCTCCATACCCGGGGGTGCTGACCGGGTTTGCCTGTTCCATTCCGTATCGCTGTAGGATATCTCTCGCGTAGGGTCCTTGCGATATGGCTAGTGTGCCATGTTCGTAGTCCCGCTGCACTTCGATGCCGATTACGCGCTTGACCTCTCCCATGTCTGTCATTTCGAAGCTGTCCATGAGTTCCTTCTTTTTCCTGCTTACGATCTCCTTGTTTCCGCCCGTGATGAGGATGTCATCGACGTAGATCGCGAGGATTGTGAGTTCGTCCCCGCTTACGAAGATGTAGACACAGGGGTCAGAATGAGTGCGCTGCCAGCCGAAGATGGTGAGTCTGTCATTGATGGCGTCGTTCCACAGTGACGGGGACTGTGACAGGCCGTACAGACTTTTCTCCAGTTTGTAGACCATCATTTCACCTGTCGTAGGGTCCCTCTCCTCGTCGCCTGGCGCCGGCCTGACGTAGACGTCTCTGTCGGTGTACGCGTTCAGGAATGCAGCTACCACGTCCAATTGGTACACCTCCCATCCGTGTTCGCAAGCGATGGCGAATAGCATGCGGATGCTACCCAATCGGGTTACTGGAGCGTAGTTCCTTCCGAAGTGTCGTCCTGCTCGTTGGCGGTGTCCCCCCGCGACTAAGCGGGCCTTGAAGCGGCTGTCGGCCTTGATCTTGAACACGACGCGTGTGTCGAAGATGTCCTAATCC